AAAATTTTTTTTTAAAAATAAAATAAAATATGGATTTATATCGGTTCTATTGAAAAAATATGGTTTTTTTGAAAATATTTTGAAAAATTCAGAGTCTTAGAGGAAAATCCAAAAATTTTTGAAAAAATCGTGTTTTAAGAATGGACCGGGGCTTGCCTCGCTTGTTGGACACACTCCGTCTTGCCAACTGAGGCTTGTCTAGCATTTTGCCCATCCTACTAGCCAGTCAGTCAGGACCATCTGTCTTTAAACAAGTATTTTTTAAGGGAAAATTGTTTCATGCAGGCTAGACCACATTTCTACATATGCAGTCCAGAAAGTTAAAGCATTTATCTTATAAATGGATGCAAGTAAGTGTTCCTCTAAAAACAATGAAAACTAACGGTTAATATGTCTTCTCATTAGAATTATTATTTTTAGTTTTTAAAATTTATTTATTTTTTCATATTCATGATCTTCATGTTAAAAATTACATGTCCTTAAAAATTAGGCCTTAAAATCCACCTCAAAAATAGATTTATTAGGATTTAAGAGGCCTACATCTCTACATATACAGGTTTGACCGTATAGATACCGGGTCCTTTTTTAAGACTAATAAACAATATCTAAAATCTCAATGTACCGTTGATTTATTTCCCCATCCCATGCTTGTCAGACGCTAGAGAGCGTGTTAAATTCAAAAAGAAAAATGTTATGCAAACATTCAATAGAGAAACATAGCTTCCCAAATTTCAACCTTAAGCACTAAGCATACCCTGGTGAAGTGCACCATGAGTGATTGATGGGCTTCAAAATTTGTTAAATCTTTTTTTTCTTTTTTTGTTGATAAATATCAAAAACCTTTATTAATAATTACCCAAACGGGATTACATCATCAGAAATCAAGAGAGAAGGAAGAGAAGAACTAAATTTAACTAATGAGTCAGCAAGACAATTAACCTCCCTATAGACGTGGCAAAAGGATATTGACAAAACAGAAGTAATTTCTATAACCTGTGACCAAATGGGTACTAGCTTCCAAGGAACCCGCAACTCCTTCTTGCACCATTCGAATGACATTTAAAGAATCTCCCTCCACTAGCTAACATAAGCCCAAGTTTTTACTTTGCAGAATCTTGAGACCTTGTAGGAGGGCAAGTAATTCAGCATTATTTACAGTTGTTTCCTCTATTGGCCCTGCGAAACTAAAAAAGATATTTCCATAGCAATCCCGCCCAACTCGCCCAACACCTTCAGGGCCTGGGTTTCACAACGACTTACCATCAAAGTTCATTTTCAAAGTCCCTTGTAAAAGAGGGGTCCAAAAGCTCACTTGCCTACTTTTCACCATTCCCATCATCATAAGATTTGGAAGGTTAGTAATAACATTGACCTTCAAAATGCCTCTCCCTTCCTTGGAAACGCCAAGAATAGACCATAGAAAATGAAAGATTTTGTCTATAATTCTCTCAACAAGAATGCAGACACTGTCAAAGGTACGTCTATTCCTTTCCTTCCAGATCTCCCAAGGAATTAAGCCATGCATAATCTTCCAAATTACAAACCCAATCTTGGGTAAGTAGGGCATTGACAACTCCGAGATAACCTCTACACACTCTTGGGGCATCGTCAACTGAAAGCCCAAAAGCGAAAGAAAATGACCCCATATCCTTAACGCCAAGTAGCAATGAAGGATCCAATGCGCTACAAACTTTGCATCCTCCTTACACATAAGACATATATTTGTCAAAATCTTTCCCCTCTTCACAAGATTATCAACAGTAAGTGGGCTGCCACCCATATAAAGATTTGGATTTTGTGAGGAATGGGTCATTTCCAAACTTTTGAAACCAATGGAAGTGATCAACGCCTCCTACCATGGAACAACAAGAGGTAACAAGATTTTACTAAAAAATAGTCCATCGCATTCTAAATCCCAAATAAGATAATCTTCCATATTTGAAGGGCTATCCAGAATTTCCATTAAAGACCGAAATTGGTCAAAGACCTCCAAACTAATCCTATTAAACTGTAGGGTCACATTCCAGGCAGCATTATCTCTTCGTCCCTCAACAATATCTTCCACCTTAGCATCTTGATCCACCACTCTATTGAAGATGTCCGGAAACTCAATTTTAAAGGATAGTCTCCCACCCAAGTATGATGCCAAAATGATATATATTCACCATTATCAATATTCCACCGAAGATTCAACGGCTTACAAAAGGCAATAGCCTTCCATACAATTGCAGCATTAGCACCTCTATTATTATCAATCCACATGCCATGTCTATCCAAACTATATTTGGTCTCCATAACTTTATACCAAATATGATCCTTAAAAGTGAAGCTATGCTACCACTATTTATAAGTAAGGCTTGGTTAAGCAATTTTATCTTTCTCGGACCCAAGCCACCCTCATTCTTTAGAGGTCAAACCCGATCACATTTTAACAAATAGAATTTTCTTGCCTCTTCTGACGACACCCATAAAAAATCCCTCATCATCTTCTCAATCTTTTTAGCAACTGATGTGGGAATTTGGCATATTGACATCTGGTAGATAAGTAAGTTTGACAGGCAAGATTGGAGTAAAGTAACTCTTCCACTGGACGAAAGACACTTCTACTTCCAAAGGTCCAACTTAACTTGAACACATTGAAGTACCCTATCCCAGACCGAAATAGGGAGACTCCTATCAGATAGGCAATCCAAGGTAGATGATAGGGAACGATTTAACCCTACAGTTAAACACTTCTGCCAAATCCGAGAGTACCAATTTGTCACAGTTGATACCAATAATTGATGTTTTTCTAAAATTTACCTTTAGTCCCATAGCCATCTCACAACATCTTAAAAAAGTAGCTATATTTTGTATTTGCTCCACCTCAGCCCACAGAAAATTAGCGTATCGTCCGCATATTGAAGATGCAAGATACGAAGTTCACTGCTAGCAATCTGAAAGCCTGTGAAATTACCTCTACTGACCAAATACGTTATCATAAGGCTAAAACACTCTGCATAAAGAGTAAATAAAAAGGGTGAGAGATGATCACCTTTCCTTAAACCCCTTGATGCTTTAAAAAATCTTCTCGGGCTACCTTTATACAAAACCTAAAAGTGGGCAGTCGACAAATACCCAATAATCCAATTTCACCATCTAGCCCCAAAACCCATCCTTATCATAATTTCAAGTGGCACCCCCCACTTAACTCTATCGTAAGCCTTTCCATGTCCGATTTCAAGACAATCCCAGGAGTCTGAGTTAAACATTGTGAGTGGATATATTATTAGGCCAGAATAGGGCTATCTATGATCAATCTGTCCTGAATAAATGCAAATTGAAGACCCAAGATCACTTGGGGAAGCACAGATTTCAACCTTTCTGCCAAAATTTTAGCCACAATTTTGTAAACGCTTATAAGCAGACTAATGGTCGAATGTCTGATAATTCCACAATAACAGACTTTTTGGGAATAAGAGCAATATAAGTGGAATTCACCCCTTTAAGGAATTCCCCTCGAATCAAAATCCTCTAACCATCTCAAGCAGCTCCCATTTGATGAGGTTTCAAAAGTTTTGAAAAAAAATTAACAGGAAACCAACCGGGCCCCGGGCTTTGTGCCCTGACAAGGCAAAGACCGCTTCTTTTAGTTCCTCCATCGAGACCTCCCTCTCAAGAGAAGACGCAGAGATAAGAGATAGAGCCAAAAAAGAACACGATCAAACTTTGGAGTGAAACACACTTCTAAAGTAAAAGTTTTTTTGAAGTGCTAAACCACAGCTTCTCCCATTGCTACTCCGTCATCCTGATCAACCCCTTGGATCATCGATCCTGAGACATCATTATTTCTTCATTTGGAACTAGCAATTTCATAGAAATATTTGGTATTTCTATCTCTTTCCTTAAGCCACTTAGTTCTAGACATTTGTCTCAAATATATCTCCTCCACCCTATTCAAGTCATTTAAAATCCCCAATTTACTTGCTCTTTCTACTTTTGTCTCTTCAAATAGAACTCCCTCCTGTTGAATAGATAAGTCTAAAGTTTCAATCTCAAGTAACACCTCATCAATCTTATTTTTAATGTGAAACATGTTCTCCCTCTTCCACATGATAAGATTGTGTTTAATACTTGCCGATTTCTTATATAGCAAGTAATCTAACGAACCAACTGAGGTGGCATTTCCCTCGTACTCTGAATTAGATCTAGAACTTCTTTCTCTTTCAACCACCCAATCTCCATCCTAAAAGGCTTTAGACCATCACTATAGACTTGCAGGAGAGTAAAAGTGAAACATGGTTCGAAAATAATCTAGGAAGAGCCCAAACAGCAGCTAAAGGAACCTACTCCCCGAACACCAAAAATCGGTCAATCTTTGACATACGAAAAATTAAAGGTACAATTGTTAGACCACGTAAAGGTGATACTAGCAATAGGTAAGTCAACCAACGAATGTCATTCAATAAAAGATTTCTTTCACACAGACTAACATATATATGCTCATTATACAATATATCTAAGGTTTTATTGGAGGAGGGCATATATTATGCTGATTTGGGAGGATATTGCAGTTCTCCTCCCTCCCTCAAAACACCTACTAAGAAGAATTTTCTGAGTCTAAAATTTTGGGAAGTGCATAGTAAGTACAAGACGATTATTTTTAAAAGAAAAAAATTTAAATTTTAAGTTTTGTAACACTTAGATCTAACCGTTCAAAAATTGGATGGTCTCTATTCAATTTTGAGGCATAAATATATATTTTTTATTACATGTAGAAGCGATCTCAAAAAAAAAAATTTACTGAAATTAAAAAATTTATACTAATTATTCTATAGGTAATGAAGATTACATTCAAAAAAATTGAGATCCAAACAAATATACGTAGCATGTGTTTTACCCAAGGGATAGTATCAGAGGAGAAAATCTTTTCACTTTATGGAGTACCAAAAACGATAGGGGCATAACGGGCATTTGAAAAGAGGTACAGAGGTCATGGGTAGATATCCTGGCCTTATCCAACATTATCACAATTTTTGGGCTCAGGGAATTGGTTTGGGGATTGGGGTTCAGAGAGAGAGCGAGAGATCACTAAATTGGGTTTGAGAGAGGGAGAGAGAATGGGATTGCCTTCACCCACTTTCTGCTTCCAAAGCCGGCGTTTCCTCTCCCCTCCACTCCACCTCCAACCCAAACTAACCCCAAAATTCAGACACCAGGCCCTCCCCCTCTCCTCCCCAGCCATCGATCTTCTTGCCGCTGCCACAACCACTCCTGACGCTGGCGCCGGCGGCAGCACCACCGTTGCCGTGGTTGGTGGCAGTGCAATTGCCGCCCTGGCTGCCGTCCTCTCTGCTGCGGACCCGGAGAAACGCCGCCAGCTCCAAGCCAATGAAATGGGTGGTGACGACAAAGAGGTCGTGAAAGAATACTTCAACAACTCCGGCTTCCAGCGCTGGAAAAAAATTTATGGTGAAACCGATGATGTTAATCGTGTTCAGCTCGACATTCGATTGGGCCACTCGAAAACAGTGGAGAAAACACTTGAAATGCTTACAGATGAGGGCCCATTGCAGGGCCTCACAGTTTGCGATGCAGGGTGTGGCACTGGGTCCCTTGCCATCCCCCTGGCATGCGAGGGAGCAGTTGTAACGGCCACCGATATATCGGCTGCCATGGTTAGCGAAGCTCGTTCTCAAGCCGAGAAGGCATTGGAAGGAGAAAATATCCCAAAATTCGAAGTCAAGGACTTGGAATCTCTGGAAGGTCGATTCGATACGGTGGTGTGTTTGGATGTGTTAATACATTATCCTCAGCACAAGGCGGATGAGATGATTGCACATTTGGCATCACTGGCGGAGAAGCGATTGGTGCTGAGTTTTGCGCCAAAGACGTTTTACTATCTACTGTTGAAGAGGATCGGGGAGCTCTTTCCGGGGCCTTCGAAGGCAACGAGGGCCTACTTGCATTCGGATGGGGATGTAGAGAGGGCATTGGAGAAGGTGGGGTGGAGGGTGAGAAAGAGGGGGTTTATAGCCACTCAGTTCTATTTCGCAAGTCTCATTGAGGCTGTTCCGATTGCGTCTGCCTGAGATCAGGTTTCTGTTTGATTTTGCATTTTGCAATATATATACAGGGGCCATGGCTATGCTGAACTGCTTAGGGTTTGGTTTTCAATTCTATTAATGGGGAAAAACTAAGTATGGTTGATTAGCGGTTGAGGGAAGCGGGCTGGGGTTTTAACTGGGAACTTGGTTTGTTAATTTGAGGCCATTGATGCCAACCGCCTAGTCTAGTTCTGTAATCTTACTTCTTGTACTTTTCTGAGTCTCCAACCACATTTTGAGACTATTTTTATGCAAACAAAGTGCTCAGGTTTTGAAACCTCCCTCTCTCAAATTACGTACAATTCAGAGTCTCCCACTACATGTTGAGACAACTTGACCTCTCTCTCAAATTACATACAATTTAGAGTCTCCCACCACATTTTGAGACTACTTTTATGTAAACAAAGTGTTCAGCTTTTGAAACCTCTCTCTTAAATTACATACAATCCTGTATGTCCTCACAGCCATGAAAACTAGGGTCTACCTTAAAAAATTAGTGCCTAAGAGACAAATGTGGCACGAGGGTCGGGCAAGGGTTGGGTCCCATTGGCTAGGTCCAAGCATGGGACGAAAAAGAATGGGCTCCCGTACTGGAAAAAGAGTAAACCTTAATCCTCTGCAGTTTTGACACCAATAGGGACTTCCTCTGCCTCTGCCCTATTGCTTTCTGGCGAACAATCTATTTCCCTGCAACCAACACCTGTAAAAAAGGAAACGATGATGATGAAGGGAAATGGAAGAGGTCAAATGTCCAATTTCTCTCTCAGAGAAAGAGAGTCACAGAAGGACTTGTTTGGCTTTGGAGCTCGCTTTGAGAAATCAAAATGTCATTGCCATGCGAGGCAAACCTAGAAGAACAAAAAACAAAAAGCTTAGAGGCTTCAACCTTTTTCAAGGCACACTAAAATGCAGATATTGGATTATCAGTAAATTCATAAGTCGTGAGGAAATAGAGTAGAGAAAATATGAGTGTAAGATAAAAAGTATATAAAAATTGTGTACAAGGCCCTATTTATAGGGTAATTTCATGTAAGACTGCATACCATATATTTACCAAAAAAATATGTAGATGAATCACACTAAAACGAAGGAACATACGAGAGAAGAGAGAAAAGAAACATACGAGTTGTTGAGAAAGTAGAGAGAGAAAGAACACACGAGTTGCAAAAAAATAGGGCTAGTCCGGTTTTGAAAAATCTCTAATAGTTATTCAGTATTTCGAATATCTAACAACAAATTCACTTTAATTTAAAATAAAAACCCTACTCTCCGATGTTTGTATTGTAGGACAAGGGCAACTTAGAGAAATAAAATTGTCTAATAGACCCCTTCAATAGTGTCCTCTCTAGAGTATATAGTGCATGTTACTGTATATTCACACTCCCCCTCATAGAGAGTTCAGATATAAACTAAGATAATTGACTTGTACTATGTGTTTGGGTGAAGAAAGCAATCAGCTGCTCAGAGGCGGCAATATATTAAAGAGAAATTGTAGAATAAGGTGATAGACAACTTCAATATCGCTCGATGTGTTCATGGAACTCCATATTCTTTGAAATATAGATGGCGTTGTTGTTATCAATATAGAGTTGTGTGGGAGGGTAATAGTAACACCCAAGTCTGTGAGCAATCAATGAAGCCAACCGACTTCAGTGGTAGCTTATGGCATGGCTTTATATTCGGCTTTCATTGTATACATTTTTTCTTCTTGCTTTTTCCGGACTAGTATTTAAAAATGCAGATCGGTGACCTGAATTGATCATACCCATACCTGTGTCAGATCAATGGATTGGTGGATCACTTAAGAGAATTGGCATAATCGACAATTTTTGTTCTAATTTTTTTTTTAGAAATCACTATAAATCTTTAAAACTATTGTTCTTTTAGTTTCTAAAAGAAAGTAGGAGTGGTGCATTATGTAATTCATTACTTTGTAAAAATAGGTGAATACTGAGACAATTTTTTCCTATTTGGATGTCCATATACTTATTAATTATAATATAATATTATAATATTACATCAAAATAATTTAAAAATATTAAAAAATACTTTCATATTATAAGATTAAAAAATAATTTCTCATATAAAATGCAATTGGTATTGCATCAAAATATCAAATATTTATTTATTTGCTTTACTCATCCAAAATTATCAACTAACTATAATATTATATACTGAAATTGAAATTATTGGTTTATATTCTACTACATAAATAAGAACAAACCTAAAATGTCTTCTAATATCATCTAATTTAAAAAATATTATTTACAACTATAGAAAAAAATAATACATTACATAATTTATAATGCAAATAAATTAATAAATAAATATAAGATTTGGTTATCAATGTATAATTAGTAATTACAATATTATAATAAATATGATTCAAGAAGTTACACAACTTAACACAATTCATAATTATATTAAATTTTTCTTGTTGTATAAAACAAGCTAATGTAATAATAACAAATTAACTAAAATGAGACCATTTACCTTTAATACAAGGTGGTCACATAAATCTTGACCATTGGATGTGAATTTGGGTGGCTGCAAGTTAACAATCTTTTACATTACATTCATTCAACACAATAATACTAATGTAATTTTAATGTGATGATATTCACATAATTAAAAAAAATTAACAAAGAGCCATATATATATATATATATAGCTGAGTCTCTAAACAATCAAATTTGAGCCTACCTTAAAACTTTTAACCAGAAGATGTTGTTTTGATGCCCAAATATCCTCAAATTGATCATTTAGACATCAAGATGCATGGACATGAGAAAAAAATGGATATCAAGTTTGGAAATAGTATATTTTGAGTACGTTTTTGGACCGTCGATTTCAAGTTTTCATAGATATATTTATCTACATTATTTTTGAAGCTTTAAAATTTATAAATAAAGATCAAAATATATTTGAAGGCTATCACAAAGATTTTCAGTATTGAAACCATATTTCTCGACACTATTTGAAGGTAAGCTCTAATTCGATTGTTTAGAGCCTAGGCTGTATACAAACCGCACCCTATATATATATATATATAT